TTTCGATACATGCATAAGCAAAGTACTTTGGAGTGTGTTTATTTGGGGCCCTTCCTCCGGGATGACGAGTTGTCGGGGAGTCTTGATAGCCGGGGTCACGAACAGGGCGCGTACGTTAATGGCGGAGGGTTTTTTGCGCGCCCTGACAGGCGGTCGAATTTTCATCGCCAGTGGTGGCGTATTCCCCCATGGCCTGGTGCATCCGCTGGCGGTGCGATCCATGGCCGAGATAGGTCTGGACATTTCGATCTTGAGCCCCTCCTCGCTTGAGTCGGCGAGGCGGAAGAGCCGGACGTACGACGTTTATATCAGCATCGACGCCCCGTACGCGGACCGCCATGCCGACCGCCACCACCGCAAGGACGACGGGGGCCGGGTCCTCTTCGGGGATCCGGCGCTTGCGATGGGGCCGCCCGCACACTGGACGATCGCGCAGGACGCGGCAGATGTCCGCTCGGGCTTTCACCTCTGGAGCCCCCGCGACCCTGCGATTTACTACGAAAATTCCACGCGGAAATTTCAGGACCACCTCTACGAGGGGGAACCCCTCTTCCAGCGCCTGGAGGCGAGTACGATGCGATTGGACGCGAGGGTGTCGGGCCGCTGGGAGCTCACTGAGCTCTCGGATCCCTTTGCGATGGAGCGGGCTGGCCATCATCTCGAGCGATTTCGCCAGGCTCGCGCGAAGCTGGCGGCAGAGTCCGTGCGGCTGCTCCGCCAACTAGAGGAATACTACGGTGAGAGGCTGCTTGTTGATAATTCGTGCTTGGAAAGTACTCAAAGCGGAGGCCCTGATCAAAATTCGTTTCCTTGTCCCGCCAAGTGATAATGGGGTCGCGCCTCCACATACAATGTTGAACTATTCCTCTAACGTGCAATTTTCTTCGCTGTGTGAATTGCATTGGGGTGCGGTGTTCACGATATGGTTTTAATGTAGACACATCTATGTTTGTGATCCATATTCCATGGGTTTACCCCCACCTATCTAACAAGAGGACGGATAGACTGGTGTAAGGCGCATTTTAATTGCCGCGTGTGTGGTTGACCACCGCTGTTCCTTATGAACCCCTAAATTGTCTTTTTTTTCCTCCTTTTTTTCCCCAAGGTGTAGAAGAACACAAACATAGACTTCGTGGGGGATGTACAATAACGTTACCGCGGCCCCGGCGAAGGGCACTGGCCTCAGCGGCTACGTTCAGCGCAGTAAAGCCGTTGTGGGCGCCCGGCTTCATTCCGTCTCGATTAGCGAGGCGAAGTCCCCTCAGGAGGCGGCGATCAACCCGCTGGCGATGATGCGATCGCAAAAAGAAAACCATGACATGGCGCTACGACTTCAGCTCCACAAGGCGATCCGGGCTGTGAGGCTGAAGGTTTTTCTATACAAAGAGGAGAGGCTGGCGGCCGGGGCCGACGCCTCGACGGTTGAGCGCGAGTGTGAGGAGCTGCACCGCTCCTTGATGGAGGTGGCGATGGAAAACCAGCGGGCGATAAAAAAGGCTGAGGAAAAGAAAACTGCTAGCCAATTTGCGGCTGCCTTTGGGGTGAAGGAAACTAGTGGTGCTATTGACAGGGACTTTGATCGTGCGCAGCGTGAAGAGGTCAAACAGTCCGCTGAGGAGGAAAGAAGGAGGCAACTGGAGCACCAACTTGCTGAGCGACTTAAAAAAGTACGACAGGAGAGCGAATAGGCAGGAGGACTAAATGTGGAGGTGTTTAATTGCCTTATTATTATTTCCCTCCCCCCCCTGGGAATGACCTGTCCATTCTCTTCAGAATTTAAAAAGCAGTCATCGAGTTTGGAGCAATGTGAGTTGGTTTGGGAGCTTTTATTTCAGTTGTGCGCATTTGAGGAGTTGGAACAAAGTGGACCTGTTTTAGTAAGCATGTCCTTGGTGATTGAAGGTCTCGTGTTTCAGGGTTCTTGACGGGAGGGTTGTCTGGTTACGATTTTAACGTCTTTATGGAAGCCTTTTCGATGGCATCTTCATAATTTCCCCCCTTCTCCCCTCTTCAATTCCATATTAACATGGACTGCATCGGGTGTATCCTTTCAGTTCAGGGTTAACTTCTGCGGAATGTTGAATTCATTTGAAACTCTTGTTCCTCACCCTGATTGGAAAACTTGACAGTTTTATGGATACCGTTTTTCAGTCTTGTAAAATCTCATGAGGCTACCGATGATGTGAGCGGAATTCTGGCGATGACATTAGCAGTAATCCATGCTTTGGACTTCACTATACAATATTGCAGCGATGGCATGTTGAATTTGGTTTAGGGCTCTATCCAGGAGTGCCCTTTAAGGGAGAGGAGGGGGGGGGGGGGGAGGTTACCGCCGATTTTACAACGAGTCGCAATTTCCGTGCTCTTAAAATATTCCATTCACAATCACCACCACCAAATCGTTATCTTATGTCGTAATCCAAACGCCTCTTTTTCTTATGATATCTGGTGGTTAAAGATGAACGTAGTATGGGCCTTGAACTTATGCGGATCCGGTATGATTTTCTAGTCAAGATATGAAGGCTGATTCAATTAACACTTCTTTTTCTGATACAAGCACCAGGATATTTGTACGATTTATGCTACGTCGTGGTATAGTTGGGGCTACTTTCACTCTTTCAGACATCTAACATTGCATTTTTCACCTCACCAACAAGCCTTGATTCACTGGCTTGCTCGAGTTCGTGGTTTTTAAGAGTGACGTGATTTTGGTCTTCATGATTGTTGCGAAGACTCTCGAGGTTTTTGGTGCTCATAATATTGGACTCAAGGGGAGCAGAATACTTTGTTTAGATCTGAGAGGTGACTTTACCTCAACTGTACTGCATATGATATGCATAGACATGAAAAAGATTCTCATTCTCCCGTTCTATGGGTTCATGGCGTGGCAAATCAGGGATCTGTGCTGAGGAAAAAATGTGCTAGAATATTTAGTGACCGAATCGATAGAAACTATGATGCAGCTGGACTATGTTTTCGTGAAGAAGATTGCTTGTACTGTTCAAGTAGTTTCAATATGAGATAATAGATTCCATTTCAAACCTTAAGCTCAACTAACCATTTTTTTAGTTGGTCCTGACTCTGCGCTTCGCTGGAGCCTGACCTACCTACGAATCTCTAGACTATATTGTAGACACAATCTGAAACTATTTCACAAAGACTACTTTACTATTCTCAGTTTCCCCTAATCCTAGGTCTCATTGTTGTCTGATATGCGAGACTTTGAAGAATTTATTAGATGCGATAAATGCACTGATTTCTTGCATTTCTAAAGTTTAAAACCTCCATGCAAGCTTACCTCGCATCTGGCATCAAGACTAGAATTGACTAATTCACATATTATTCAGATACAATAATATCTCTAAGAGCATTTTTTTTCTCTCTTTTTTTTTGAGTATGGGGGTTAAGAATTTGTCCAAGGGACCCTTCACATTTCTCTCAATAAATAAATAAGCATATACTTACATATATCAATATACGTATATGTGTGTATGTATCATTTGAAGGACTGTTTTCATATTTCTATGGGTTGCTATTCACTATGTCGTGAGTAATTTTTTACTTGATATATAATTTTATTTAGATTGCTAATGAGCTACACGCATATTTTGTATTTCTTTTATGGATTTCAATTAATTATTGTACATTTTCCGCTAGGCTTTTCTCCAAAAAGTATTGACAAGGGCACTTTTGTGTTTTAGAGATAGAAACTAACATTTGACTTCTGACATAGGTGTTGAAGTAACAGAAACAGTTTATAAAAACTTCCGAAAATCTATACACTGTTAGTCACGATCAGCACTTTGAAGAAGATATTATTTCTTTTAGTTACTTCTTTTTATTAGTATCACCATTATTTTAGCAAAAGGGCATAGTCAAATAGTTCCAGAACGTTCTCTGTGATCTCATTTTTCTTTTTATTTTTTCCCTTTTGTCTTCAAAGATTTCATTGCGGTGTCACTGTATTAGGTTGCCCATGGGAAGCTGTTGTGGGACTTGGCATTCAGCTTCGAAGTCGCCAGTAAAGAACAGCAACGGTAACTCCCAAGGGCGGAAAGCAAGTAGTAGCCGGGCATTCCGTTTTTCTTTGTTATCGAAACATGTTAAGAAGAGTAAAAAAGACTCGGGAAAATTGTGCTCTACAAATAGTGATGAATTTGGTCATTGTAATGGCACGAGCGCTTGTAATGCAAAAACAAGCAATTTAGAGCAGTTTAATAACGGTGTATCCTCTAATGAACTGCGACGCTCATCATCAATAGGGAGTGATTCCTTAGTCTCGTTTGGACAGCCTTCACGCTCTCGCGCGCCGCGGCTTTTAGAGGAAGACTCGATCGATACATTTCAAGTTTCCTATTCTACAATCAGCCCTCCTAACTTTGATGACACTCCGACTGTCAACGTCAGTCAGCCCACACAAAGCGGCTTGATGACAGATTTTAGCCAGAGACAACAGCCGTGGCACTCCCGCAACGTATCCGACCTCACTAGCGAGTGCGACTACACGCACAACGTCGAGTTGATAACGCCCTTCAGTAATCGAGCGAGCGCATCGTACAGGGAACCCGAGTGGCAGACCGCAAATGCTGAGGTTAATCGTAAACAACGATTTATTGACTTTATTTCAACAACCCCTAACGCGTTCCTCGCCCATTTCTATACGGAACGGGCAATGATGACGCATGCTTTTATTCTTGAACACTTAGAGCTGATGATCGCCATCTTAGAAAAGGAAGAATATCTCGAACGGAATCATATACGTACTTTGTGTAATATAGAGTTTACCATTCTAGCTCATCAGATCCCATCGCTGACGCAAATGATCAACACTCGAAAGGGAATACACCAACAATTGTCCTTGGCAACGTCTAGGGATGCCAGGCAACTTGTCGCCATCGATCCGGATTCCATGGAATTCAGCTCGAGCAATTTATCCTGCGAAGAGAACATACCGCTGCGCAAGGGCAATTTCCGGGTATCGCAGCTGGAACGGGCCAACTCCGCCCCAAACGGCTTGCGGAGCTTACGGAATGTCATCACCACTGGGGGGGCCACCGAGGAGGTCGGCTATCACATCAAAGATAGGGATATTCGCCGCATGGCGACCGCGCTCCCCCTAGGATTAAGAGATCTAAGACAAACAACGAGTTTTGGCAGCTACGATGTGCGCATCTGCCAGCAGTGTCTTTCCCCCAATTTACAACCCGTCTCAGCCCTTTCTAGCGTGAGAACTTTAGGATGGAAGAACACCAATGACTCTCTGAGTTCTGCTTAAGAATAGTTTGTTATACCTTTCTTCCTCCCCCACCCCCC